TTCTGACTGAAAGGTTTGCTTGTTTTTTCTTCTTTTTTTGTTTCACATAATAACTGACCGTCGAAGTAAACTTATTATTAAACGAATTTATATAGTAGCCAGAATGAATATTTCCTAACTATGATTCGACATGTACAAGCATATCGTCTGGTTTTCTTATTCAGTTAAGATGTTTATTAGACTGGGCACTTCTTTCGATTGTTTATTATGGCTTGTCTTATGAATCATCATTGGTTTGTATACAATAGTAACTTCCAAGTCAAAAGTAAACAATTGAACTCAATTGCAGAGATAGAAAATCTGTAAAGTTGAAAATTTCTCGAAAATGGTTCTCAGACGGAATACACTAGAAATAAATTCTAATTTATAGGAGCTCGACTTATTAAAATGTCAGACAATTTTATACGTTTTTAAAAAAAAAAAAATGGAGATTTTGTAAGTAAGAGAAAATCGAGTTGACTTTCTACTAACGAGCGAACCTCTTCGAATGTACAATATGGTATGAAACGCTGAAGATTATTTTGTATAGTAGTGCTATGTTTATTATTTTATGATCATAGAAAGTTGCTTGCCAAGTTATCGAATTTTTCTTTCCTGAGGAAATCTCATGTGTTCCGCAAACTTCTTTTTATCTTTGATTATAAGCTTTTCACATCAGTCATCAATAAATATATATCTCAGGTATATATCAGAAAATTCGATAATTTAGCAAATAATAAAGGTGGCAGGCTGAAACTTCTAAGATTATAATAGATGACCAGCACTGTCGTAGGAAAAAAGAAATCTCAACCATTCATACCATGTTTTAGCACAGTTATGAATTTTTAATATTTTATATAATGTATGGCACCGGCAAACGAAAAAGATTCATAAACTTTTGACAGAAGCAATAAGAACCCAAATGCTTTTAGCATTTTTACCAGAACACTACCCTCTACACCTGGCTAAAGATCATTAAAATCAGATTTGTCCAACTGAAGAGGTTCCATCGTAAGTGGAAAATGAAAAGAGGAGAATGATAGTAAGCAGAGAAAGAGGGAGTATCAGCGCAGCTTTCGTAGAGAAATTATAATTTGCTTTTTTTTTGTCTTCTTTTTGTAAGGGAAGCCGTCAAAAATAATAGAATGCGCAGAACGTAGACGTAGACTATATTCTACGCGTAGATTTTTCAATGCGTAGAATATATTTTTCTTCGCGTAGGTAGGCATGTAACGAATCCAAATAATTCATCTCAAAGACGAATTATTTGGATTCGTTAGATGCCTACGCGTAGATATAGATCAATATCGTCCTATTATCTTTCTTTCCTCTTATTCGCAGAAAGAGATAGAAAGCGAAAAATCTGTTCTGGTCACAGAATGGAGGAAATTTTCGTTTTATATTATCAGTTGCACAATTCAATTTAATCTAAAGCTAAATTATATGTTTTTCTCTAGCGAACGAAATGAAAGCGAATAAATTTTGTCTTTTAGTCCAAGTGTTGATTTACTTTTCTGCAGAAGAAAAATATCGGTTATAATGAGTTTAATGCAAAATTGCTGAACTTAACCAGTTAAATAAAAATTAATCAGGGAGTGTCCATTTCTAGTTTCTATCTATCTGAAACAAAATGTGACAACTATTTGTCAAACAACATGTCGAACAATTTTTCAGCAATAGGGCCCCTCCGCTTGTTGAGATAGAGGGTCACCAATATCACTGCTTAGCTTCGTCAAAAAAAGTTTCTTCTTGAGTAGCTACATCACCTTTAAATAAACTTTTTTCCACTATTAACACTTTCCGAATTTCTTTCTCTTCTGGTCATGGTAATCGTTGAGAAAAAGAAGTTTCACATCGATATTAAGACGAACATGTCAGAAAATATCTTTCAAAATAGGCAAATAAACGTTTCAAGAAAGAGTTAAAGAAGTTTGTGATTTGTGATGTATATGATCAGAATCAGAACTTGATATTTTTGTTTGAGAAAGCAAAATATGTACACTAATTCGGACAGAATGTAAGAAAAAGTTTAATTTAGATATGGTTTACAAGATGTATGTTTGATTAATTAAATGTGTATGTTGGTAATATAGAAGGAAGGCTTATCAAACATACTTTAAGTTTTATTTCTTGACATGTTGTAACCGTTATGACAAAGAAGCGTTTCAAAATATATTCCAGTCGGTTGTTATTCCGCTGTTCCTCTATTCTCCGACTATTCCTCCATCATTCCAAAAATAAAGTAAAATGTAACCGAAACTGGGTAGAACAGCCTACTTTGCATTTTACAATTGCATAAAGAGGAAAAAATAAAAATGTTTTTCTTATTTGTATGTATATATTAATATGGTTACGAATCTAATAATTAGTATTAGTTTTATTAAAGTTTGTCCTTAGTCGACTGCATTTTTATTTAATTTAATAACTAATTTTTATTTAACTGGTTAAGTTCAGCGATTTTGCATTAAACTCATTATAACCGATATTTTTCTTCTGTAGAAAAGTAAATCAACACTTGGACTAAAAGACAAAATTTATTCGCTTTCATTTCGTTCGCTAGAGAAAAACAAATAAAAATTCTGCTTTAAATTAAATTGAATTGTGCAACTGGTAATATAAAACGAAAATTTCTTCCATTCTGTGACCAGAACGGATTTTTCGCTTTCTTTCTCTTTCTGCAAATAAGAGAAAAAGAAAGACGATAGGACGATCGTCTTGACGGCTTGTCCACGTAACTTAGTACTTCGCCAATCAAGTTGGACACCTTTCCTTAAAAATAGAAGATCACACTAGTCGATAGAGAATTCGATTCACTACAAGATGGTATGTTTCTTTTGAAGTTTAGACTCAAAACAAGCTTTTTAATAAAGTTTGAAGTTTTGAGATTCTCGGACAATTCTAAGGGGAGTGAATACATTTTTTCGACTTTATTTTCATGTTAGTCTATAGCAGATGCCTAGAACTACGTTGGATGTGAAAAGCAAATCCTTTGAGCAATGTTTAGTGTTCCAAAACTTGTTGGGAGAAATGTGTGTCACAGCGTCATGGCGCTAAAACGCAATTATTGAGGGATGGGAAGCTCATCGGAAAATCTCTTTTTAGTAATCAATAGCTCGTTTCCTTCTCTACCAACTTTGTTTCAGACGCTTTTTATTAGGTCTTCTAAATTCGGAGCAAATTAGCTTTTACTGAGAAGAACTCCGAATTTAGGGCCTTTTTTCGTCACAGCGTCACGCACCGACAAACGGTTCTAAAAATTCGGGTCTTTAACCAAATACCTTCGTTTTATATAGAAAGGAGAGTATGGCGAGCTGTGTCTAATGGCGCAAGAATGAAGTTTCTAGCTCATACAGTTTTTGAGAAAAGCTCAATTTACTGTGTCAGAAATGTCACGCTTGGACAAGCCTTTGATCTATATCTACGCATTGAAAAATCTACGCGTAGAATATAGTCAACGTCTACGTTCTACACATTCTATTATTTTTGACGGCTTCCCTAAGAGAATTCTTTTTTTCTTTTACATTTCGATGGATTTCCTGTGTTTGATGCTGTGGGACCTTTCGTTGATTGAGTGCTGTTCGGTGAAGAAAGGTCGTGGAGAGCTCGGGGACATGGGAGTCTTGACTTTCCAGAGATCCTCATCCTAAAAAGCTTAATGGAATTTTGAAAAATAACTTTCCTGATAGGAATTTCTTCCATTCCACCTACTCAAATCTTTTTTGCCCTGGCTGGTACTGTTAAGGAGAAAAGTCAAAAATACTTTGTGCTAAACTTTTTACCGCCACTTACATATAGGCGCTCCGATGAAAACGTCCTTCTTTTTCTAAAAATTATTTTCGATTGATTAGTGTATATTATTGCCACTACCGAACTTATGGACTTTTTGAATGAAACAGTATGTCGAGGTTCGAGACTATCGAGAAATGAACTGGATGATAGAAATATTTTCATCGTGAATCCACAAAACGTTCTAAGGTTAATCGATCGTCCACAATCCTTTCAGAACTAATAAACCACGTTAAATATTTTTGACATTTTATGCGTAGAAAAATCGGAAAGATCTGACTCAGCTTCACACAACAGGCTATGTACTTAGTCGCAGACTCTATTAAATCTGTCTGTTAACAAGGCTGAACTGGATGTAATCACGACTTACCATTTTTTGCTTTTGCTTGGTCGTAGAAATTTTCTCGCACTGTGATCTTTGGAATCCAAGGAGATTGTTGTTTATCCTCTTCGACGCAGAAGTTCGATGGTTTGATAAGTTCATCTTTTAATTCTTTTAAGTCATCCATCCACTTTCTGAGATCACGTTCATCATAGTCTTCATCATCTCTACCTTTACGAACTGTATTCGTTATTTTGCGCAATCTATTGATAAATGTGTCCTTGTTCTTATCGAGCAATTTGACAACGTCAGTCCGACATTGTTCAGCAAGTTGTTTGATTTTATTGATAGAGTCTTTCTTCCATTCATCAATTTGTTTTAACAAAGGATGAGACTCATTTTCATTTGGCGTTTCAAGCTGCTGTTTGAGCATATCGTGTTCGTAAACAACATTGTCGAATTCTTTTAACAAATCTTGACGGTGATCATTGAAACACCGTCTGCACAATTCTTCTAAACAGCCATTGCATGTGATTATACCAGAATTTTTCTCACATTTTGTACATTGAACTCTTGATGTAGCTGCCATTTAAAACTCCAGTAAAATAGTTGTTCTTTTATTAAAAAAAACTCCACTCTGTTTCAGTGTCGTATTAATTTTAACAATAAGAAATCTCTACTTAGTGCGAGATAACAGCAAGAGGACCTAAGCTTCGTTTGTAATCTATCTAATGTATAATAAAAATTTCTGTGTTTCTCACTCGTCAGTTTAAATTGAAAGCGTGTTCTCTGTAAGTTTTTATATTCGACACTGATTTAAAAAGAGTAAAGTATTTTGATAAAGACAAAATTATTTTTTTTCCGTCGCGACGACGGTTAACCTTCTTAAATAGAAACAGCAGAACAGCCACACCTGTACAAGCTTCATTTCAAGACAAAATAGATTTGTTTTTCTTTTTAGTAGTGTATATAGAAAGCATATGACAACAGAAAGAAAAAATAAATAAGTTACATACCTGCCTGCGATAATTCAAATTTATTTTTCGAACAGAACGTCATCCAAGGGTCTGGATGCTGTGCGACAAGGATCACGAAATGCATGAGGATGAAATTTTCTCTACAAGAAATCAATTTGTCACTCGTATAGAGCACACATTTTACAATCGTAGAATCAGATAAACTAGAATTTTATCTAAGTTTAAAATAATTAATAATAGTTACCCACGTGAAGTTTGGATCAGAGAAGAACGACGTTCATAACGCTTAATTTCTAAATAAGCAAATATGAAAATTCAACATTTCTGTTAAAAATTAAACATTTTTTCCTAAAACTAAATACAGATCTTGTCTGAATTATGCAAAAGGGCCGAAATTGTAATCCTGGAGGTGAATAACCAGTTTATTAAAAATTATCAAATTGTTTATCTGTGCGAACAATCAGCAGTCGAACTACAGTGCTAATTTAATCGAAAGAGATTATCAAATCTATATTGACTGTATCATGAAAAGGTTTGTTCCAGCAAACGACAACCAAAAAGAAGCATTCTGAATAGTACAGTAAAGTAGTTTTCATGCTTTTGCTACGCTTTTACTTTTAATAATTTAAGAGGGGGGGGGGGGGTATATGACAACCCCAAAAAAGGCCCCAAAATTTGCCAATTTT